GGAGGGAGCCGGAGGCAGGGAGAGAAGCCGCGAGGTGGAGGCACCCGGCAACCTTCCCGCGCAGTATCGGGCCCCGTTTTGGGGTGTTTTCCAAGGATTTTAGCTCTTTTTCCCCCATGCTGGGGGGTAAACATAGCGATGGTGGTGTTTTGCCCTAAAACGGAGCGTTTTCAACTTCCCAGAGGGAGACTTTGTGCGGAAAAACGATGAAGCAGCCGCTTGCTGGACTTAAATCTCCTTTTTTTGTAGCAAAATGGTGCTGGGAGGGGAGATTTTGGGGGTACGGCCCATAAAAGGGGTGCTGGAGCTTGCAGGGTTGCATTCACGGGTGCTGGGATCTCTGGCCAGTGGTGGCATGGGTGCCACAGGGGAGTTTGGGGTGCTCCGGGGGATATTTTGGGTGCTCCAGGGGGGGTTGGGTGCCCCCAGGGGGGTTTTGGGGTGCCCCCAGGGGGGTTTTGGGGTGCCAGCCGTGGGGCTCACCTTCTCCAGGGTTTCGATGCGCTGTTTCAGCAGGCGGTTCTCGGTGCGGAGGCGCTGGGGGGGGGCAAAAATGGGGAGGAATAAGCCCCGGGGAGGGGGTTTGATGTCCCCAGGGGGGTCGCTGAGCTGGGGGACAGCACGGGGACAGCGGGACGTGGGGGTAAAGTGGCCCCGCGGATGGGTCAAGTGGCCCTGGGATGGCTTACATGGCTCTGGGGAGAGGCTAAGTAGCCCTGGGGACAGCTTAAATGGCCCTGGGGGTGGCTCATGGTGGCTCCAGGATGGCTTAGATAGCCCCAGGGACAGGCTAAATGTCCCCACGGACGGGTGAAAGTGGCTCTGGGATGGCTCAAACTGCTCTGCAACAGGTCAAGTGGCCCCAGGATGGCTTAAGTGGCCTTTGGGGACACCTTAAATGGCCCTGGGATGGGTCATAGTGGCCCCAGGATGGCTTAAATAGCCCCGGGGATGGGCTAAACTGTCCCAGCAGGTCTCAAGTGGCCCCAGGGATGGCTCAAAAGGTGCTGGGGACAAGCTAAATGGTACCCAGGATGGGCTAAGTGGCCTTGGGGACAGTTTCAATGGCCGTGGGATGGGTCAAAGCAATCCCAGGATGGCTTAGATGGCCCCAGGGATGGGTGAAGCTGTCCCAGGATGGCTCAAGTGGGACTGGAGATGGGCTAAGCCCTCTCAGGGATGGGTCAAGTGGCTCCAGTGAGAGGCTGAGCCACCCTGATGTGGCTCAAGCGGCCCCAGGAATGGACTACATGGCCTTGGGATGGCTCAAAGTGGCCCCAGGATGGCTCAGATGGTCCTGGGGATAGGCTAAGCCATCCCAGGATGGCTCAAACAGCTCTGGGAATGGGTCAAGTGGCCCTAAGATGGGCCAACGTGGCTCCAGGACGGCTTAGATGGCCACAAGGATGGGCTAAGCCATGGCAGGAGGGCTCAGCTGGCCCTGGGGATGGGCCAAGTGGCCATGAGGATGGCTCAAGCACCTCCAGGAGACCAACACTTGACCTGTCTCACCTTGATCTCGATCTGCTCCTCCATCTCTTTGTTCTTGATGGCGGCGTACTCCTTCTCCAGCCTGCTCAGGACATGGGGACAGGCTGGGACACGAGGACGGGGACCAGATGCCCTGGCCCTGCACCCATGGCTGCTGGGGGAACCCCATCCAAGCACAGGAACCCATCTCCCCGTCTCACCTCTTCATCTTCTTGGGGTTGTACTTGACCTGGAAGGCCCTGAGGATGAGCTTGTCGGGGCAACTGTCGAATTGGTGTGGGATCACCTTCTGGAAGTACTGCAGGTACAGAAACCAGCCGTGAAACACGGCCCCGAAACACAGGCCATTGCTTAAACCAGCCCCAAAGTAGGGCCCGTTGCGTAAAACCAGCCCCAAAGTAGGGCCTGTTGGATAAATCTGCCCCAAAACACACTCTCGTTGCATAAATCCACCCCAAAATACAACCTACTGCATAAACCAGCCCCAAAATATGGCCCATCATGTAAACCTAAAATACAGCCCTTTGCATAAATCCACCACAAAATATGGCTTGTTGCATAAATTGGCCCCAAACACATTCAGCTGGGAGAAACATGCCCCAAAATATTAAATCTGGGGGTAAATCTGCCCCAACCTACATCCCCTTGGAAAAGTCTGCCCAAAAATACATCCCCCTCGGATGTTCTGTTGGACAAATCCACCCCAAAATACATCCTGTTGCCTAAATCCACGCCAAAACACATCCCATTGGAGGAATCTGTCCAAAACCACGTCCTGTTGGACAAATCCACCCCAAAACACATCCTGTTAGACAAAGCCACCCCGAAACACATCCTGTAGGCTAAATTTACCCCAAAAGTCACCGGCAGGTACCTGGGACATGCCCTCCATGTCGAGCTGGACGAGCTCAGCCTGGTTGAACTGCAGCAGTGCCATCCCCACGCGGAAGACGATCTCCAGCCCCTGCAGGAAGGGCCCACGCTTGATCCCACGCCATCGCCTTTCCCACCTGGGATTTGGGGTTTTTCTCCCCAAAACCAGACTGGCTGGGGCGGGAAAACGTTTCCACACCCAAGTGGAAAACGTGGCTGTGGAAAATCCCTTTGTGATTCATGGTGTTGGCCACAGCCCCGTTACCTCGTACATGAAGATGTCAAAGACGCGTGTGGCCACGGGAAGAGGGAAGGTGGTGAGGAAGAGGGTGAGGAACCAGGACGAAGCGTACATGGAGGTGAGGAAGCTCTGCGAGCGGAAGTGGATGTTCAGCTCCGGCAGCTGCTCCTGGACGTGAGAAATGGGGGAAATGAAGAGAAATGGGGAATGGTGGATGTTTTTAGGGGTCATTCATGGCTGCTGAGGTTTGAGCAGGTCCACGAGGTCTTGTGGAGGTCCCTGAGGGGCCTCATGGAAGGCCTCTTGGTGGTGGGGGCTCGTGGATGGTCCCCAGGATCTCATGGATGTCCCTCAGGGCATCTTGTGGATGGTCCCTGGGGTTTCTCATGGATGGTTCCTTTGGGTGTCTCACAGATGGTCCCCAGGGTCTCACAGATGGTCCCTGGGGCATCTCATGGAGGTACCCTGGGGTCTCACCGATGCCCCCAGGGGATGTTGTGGACGTCCTTGGGGTCTCACTGATGTCCCCCTTGAGAAATGATGGATGGTCCTCAGAGCATCTCATAGACGTCCCCAGGATCTGTGTTGCTGGACACGAGCTCCATTGGAGGAACCCATTTCTCCCAAGAGCTGCCACCTCACTCCTACCTCTCCCTGTCCTTGTCCCCTGGCTCTACTCATCGATTCCCACCACCCCGAGCTTTTTGGGGGCCGTGGGGTGGTGCCTACCTGCAGCATGTACTCAAACTGGTAGATGCAGAGCCCCAGCTCGGCCATGCTGGGTTTGAAGAGCTCCCGTAATCGGTACTCCTGCATCAGCCTCACGAACACGCAGAAGGCCTCTTCCTCGGGCATCTGGAGACCCAAAGGGACAGGAATTCCCCCTTAAACCTCTGCTGGCAGCTCCGGACACGGAGCCTCTTCCCATCAGGTGATGGGATGTGCCAGGAGCTGTCCCTGGGTGAAGGGGGCAAACCCATTTGAAACCCATCGGGAGTAAGTGGGATGGTGGGAATGAGCCCATTTTGTTCCAGAGAATCAAGAAAAAGGCTCCCATTTCCCAACCCTGCTCTACCACACTGTCTCCGGAGGGTGTTAAAAACCCATCAGCAGTTCCTCCTCACCCTGGGGTCACCACAAACCTGCATGAGCAGCAGTCCCACGATGAAGGCGCTACCCTGGCAGTATCCGACCTCCCGGTCCACCAGTGAATAGGCCTCGAAGGAGGAAAAAAATTCAAAATAAATATATGTGTGGGCAGGGGGACTGGCTGGGCCACCATCCCTGTTTGCTGTGAGAGGTCAACAGTGGACGGAAGCCTTGACCCTGGCATCAAAAATAGCTTTTCTTTGCTTGACAACACCTCCTGGGAGCACGATGTTGCTCCACACTTGAATTTAGACCCCAAAATACTCAACTATTTGTTTCTTAATTCAGAATAAAACTCAACAGGAAAAATGAGGTCTGGGACAGATGGGGAACGAGGTTCCTTTGCGAGGAAAGGGCTGTTGCGCTGCAAGAAGTGACGGTTCCGGGAGTTTGTGGTGGAAACCAAACCCATCAAAAATTAATATCCAGTTAAAACAGCTTCAAAACCTGAAGCGGTGCCTGGGCTGTGGCCAAGATCCGTCGACATTCGAGGAAAGACGTTACCTTCATGACGTTGAAGAGCACCTCCTGGCCCAGACTGTCCTGTCCCTTGAAGAACTCGTGCTCCGGGTAGGTGCGGGCGATATCCCGTCGGATGAGCTTCTCGCAGGGAGAGGACATCTTGAGCAGCTCTGAATATTGGTTTTTGACGGGCATGTCGGTGGCACTGCAGAGCAGCTGCCAGACGATGGCACGAAAGTGGTGGGGGATCCCTTTGCGGATGAGCTCCTGAGGAAAAATGGGGCAAAAACCTGAAAAAATGGGTTTCAAGAAGATGGGGAAGCTCCTTGTGGATGGGGAGATATCGTCCTGTCCCGGCACGGGGAAGATCAGGCTGCAGGTTTTTGCAGCGGGGTTAAAATATAATTAAAAATAAAGCCGTTTCCTCACCTTCAGCAGCTTCTCCTTCTTCTTCCGCCACTCGTCCCACTCGTTGACGATGCGGCCCCAGAGGATCCAGGTGTCCTCCTCGAGGTGGCTGAGGTTGGAGGAGGCCGAGGAGCTGGAGACCAAGGAGGAGCCGCTGTTCCTTCGTGAGCCGTTCATGGAGCGCATCGACTTGGAGTCAGCCTCCAGTAGCCTGTGAGAGACCAAGATAGCCCCAAAAAAGCCCCAAAGGAGGAGAGAGCCCCCAAAACTGCCCGAAAAGAGGAGACATTCCCCCCAAAACAGCCCTCAAGGAGAAGAGAGTCCCCCCAAATGGTCCCAAAAAAGGAAATATTCTCCCAAAACAGCCTCCAAGGAGAAGAGATTCCCCCAAAATGGTCCCCAAAAAAGAGATACTCCCCCCAAACAGCCCTAAAGGAAGAGAGATTTGCCCAAAACTGTGCTAAAAGAGGAGAGATTCCCCCCAAACAGCAGATATTCCCCCAAAATGCCCCAAAGAAAGAGATATTCCCTGAAAATTGCTCCAAAGGAGGAGATATTCCCCCCAAACCACTCCAAAAGAAGAGATATTCCTCCAAAACTGCCCCAAAGGAGGAGATACTCCCCCAAACAGCCACAAAGGAGAAAAGAGTCCCCCAAAACGGTCCCAAAACAGGAGATATTCTCCCCAAATACCCCAAATGAGGAGTTTCCACAAAAACCATGCTAAAAGAGGAGAGATTCCCCCCAAACCACCCCAAACAAGCAGATATTCCCCCAAAGCCACCCCAAAGGAGGAGATATTCCCCCTCAAAATGCCCCAAAGGACTAGAGATCCTCCAAAACCACTCCAAAAAAGGAGATATTCCCCCAAAACCACCCCAAAGAAAGAGATATTCCCCCAAAACTGCCCCAAAGGAGGAGATATTCCCCCCAAATGCCCCAAAGGATGAGAGATTCCTCCAAAACTACTCCAAAAAAGGAGATATTCCCCCAAAACCACTCCAAAAAAGGAGATATTCCCCCCAAAATACCCCAGAGGAGGACAGATTCCCCCAACACCATGTTAAAAGAGGAGAGGTACCCCCCAAACACGGAGATACTGCCCCAAAGGAATAGATATTCACCCAAAATGCCCCAAAGGAGGAGAGATTCCGCCAAAACCACTCCAAAAAAGGAGATATTTCCCCAAATCACCCCAAAACAACACCCAGATGTGCTATTTGCCCGGACCAGATCCCAGCAACTGCCCAGAGGTTTCTTTAATGAATTCACTTAAAAAAAAAGATTTCCAATGCGTTTTTTTTCCCCAAGAGTCAATTTGCTTAAAAAATGACTTTGCAGGGAAATTTGCATTTCAGGGCTTGATTTTAACACCGGTTTAATGCCAGGGACGGAGCTTTTTGCCCAGTATTTTGGCAAAGTGAAGCCTGAGGGCTCGTTTCCCATCACGAGCAGGTTTAAAACCCACCACCGAAGCGGGTGGGTTTATTATTTATTATTTCCAAACAGCTGCTTCCTTCCAGAAATCCCCTTTGCCTGCCTGAATGAGCAAACCCTGCTGCTTTCAAAGAGAAAAATATAACCTTGAAAATAATAAACCGGCGTGTTTTCGCCCCGGCTGGACCGATGCTTGGGGGAAGCGGCTCGTTGTCATCCAGCCTCTTTGGTTTTATGGGAAACGCTTAAAAAAAAGGACGATAAAAAGACCGAACGAGGGCAAATATTGCCCGGCACTCACCGATTTTGCTCCTCCAGCTTTGCCAGCAGCTCCAGTTCGTCGGGGCTGAGGTTTTCCGAGTCGGAGGTGGGCGAACACGCCGGGGCCGAGTTGACGGAGGAGAGGGCTTCGTGGGAGGACGAATCGGGGCTGATGGCCGGCGACGCCATGGCGGCGGGGACCGGCAGCGCGCCGAGTCCGCAGGGATTTCGGGGTCTCACCTGGAAAGCCGAGCGGCAGCGTGAGCGGGACGTGACCCCCCCTCCGGCTTATCCTCCTCACCACATCGCTTCAAATCTCTTGAACTCCCCCGTTTTAGCTAATCTGATAGAAAATAGGATGCGCGCGTCGCTCAGTTTGCAACCCACCCAGATATTCACTTAATTCCCTAAAAAAACCCCATTTAAGCCCAGATTTCACGTCAAGCCGGGTTTAAGCGCGTCCTCCCGTGTCTGCCCTAAATTAGTTGAATTAAATTAGCCTAAAACCTGGAATTTTGGGAAGGAACAGGCCGA